AGTTACAGATATACATATGTTCAGATATTAGATGTGGTTTGAATAAATGTTCTGATTGCATCGTTCAGTTTTGATGACATCTTTTTAATTGCGTATATTTTATTTTGATTATTTTAAAAAAATAATTAATTAAATATAAATAATCGAAAAGGAGAATGTGAGACCAGGACGTTCTACCCTAGAGGTTAGGGGAGTGCAGCTCACTCCATGTGCCAGTGTCTCACCACACCCTTTCCCCGCTGGGCCTCTCCTCTTCCTCTTTTGCCATGTTCTCTTTGTGTCACTTCTACTGCTCTTCGTCACTTGCCATGACAACAGGGCCACACATTGACATGTTTGGGGGACAATGGATCCAAAAGATCCCCTATTATCAAAAGTTTTCTACCTAGATGAGTTCTGTGCTCACCAAAGAAACAAAGAGAAGTGTGTCCAAATGCTAAAGCTTTTCTCCTTTGCAACCTCACACAGACCTGGCTCACAGGTGTCTTCATTCACAATTTCACAGGTAAGAAGAGGTTGTGTATTTCACTGGGAAAGGATGCATTGCTTTGGAAAAGTCATCTCTATATTTACCCAGGACAGCAGTCCAACTTTGTTGTTTGCAACTTGCTTGCCAAGGGATGAGTGGACTGTGCAGCCAATAACAAGTGACAAGGGTTCCTCAAATCTATTTACACTCCAGCCTGGGTGCCATTCAGCCCAGAGCTATGGGACAATACCCTAGTGCATCCCACACACATTCTGCCCCCAAGAAAATCTTGGCTGGGCTTATTAGAGAGAAATAAATTGAAGAGTAATAAAATAGACAGTTAAACTTGTCACTTTGGAATGACTCTCCTGCTTTCCAGTGTCAACCCTGCACCTCATGCTCCCAAGGCTTGTTACCAACAAGCATCTAAGATTGCTTAAAAAATTCCCAGGCAAGGTTCAGTAAAAACCAGATTGAATATTAAGCAACAGCTCAGGAAAATTCATTGGCAACATTCACACTATTACTTACTAGTCGGTTAAGGCACAACAAGGAAGAAAAAGGTAACAAACAAAATGCAGTCAATCAAACGAGAAACATTCTGAGAATTATGTGTGTGTGTGTGGGTGTGTGTGTGTTTAGGTGTGTTTAGGTGTTTTAGCTTTAAGAAAAGGTCAGAAAGGTCAAGGCTAAAAAGGAACACGGCCTAAAAGCTTAACAGCACTCAAGCTCAACAGTGGTTAAACCAGAGCCTCCAGGAGTGGGGCTGTTGGCCCAGGATCCATGGTTGATCAGTCATCCTGCCAGTGCAGCAACCTTGAGAGCTCGCTGGCTCTGAGAGGCCCCACTCAGAGGGAGTTGCTGCCGGCAGCCTCTGGGGTCCAGGAGAGCCCCAGGGGCCTCCTTTTGGAGCGCTGTTTATGGGCCACAAGAGAGCGGGCCTCAGCCATAAATGCTTCATCATGGCCGCACTGTGGGTCAGCAGCCTGTCTTTGAAAGTGGGAGAGGAAGGATGTTGTGCCATTCAGGCAAGAAAAGTGGCTTCCAAGGCTGTTCACAGGACACCCCAGGAGCTCGTCAGACAGCACAAGCTCCTGGGAGCGCTCAGTGTCTCTGATAAGCTCAAGAGGAGCTGGGCCCAGGGGCTGTTCAGCGAGGCCCAGGCCTGACAAGCCTTTCTCAGGCCACCGTGTGGCCGGACAAAGCTGGGGGCATTCACCACCACAATCTGAAGCACAAAGTTTTGATCTAGGGTAAAAAGCCATGGCCCAGTGGAAGTGGGCCGTGTCCTCAGGCCTGTGGGAGAATCACAATGCAGATCCTTGTGCTACTGATTCCATCTCTCCCACTTTTCTAAGTTCTTGGTGACAAGGTCACTTAGGTTAGACACACAGCTCACAAGAAGTGCTCCTCTTTTTCTGCTCAATGAATTAAAGTGAGAATCGTGTCACATCCAAAAATTGTGTTCTGCTATGGTTTAACTGACGGTTTTGAGAAATTTCTGAAGCAGCAATATTTCTTCCGCAAATATTTACTGTACATGGCATGGAGCACAGAGGAAAGATTTAACATTAAAAGCATTGCTCATGCAATGCTCTTTTGACAAGTTCTGCCTTGAGCTTTCCTTAGGAAGATCTGAAAGGTTCAGCGTCACAAGCACAAGCTCCTGCAGTGGCTGCTGGCCAGCAGAGCAGGGCTGTCAGCTGGGAAACAAGTGTTGCCACAAGCAGCAGCTCACCCAGGGCAGCAAATCAAGAGTTGGCAAGGAGCTGATCTGAAGGCCAAACCTCCTTAGCTCCTCCCAAGAGGGCTGGAACAGTTCCTCATTCCAATGAGGTGCAGTGTTGGACACCACAGCTGTGTGAGCACTGGACACAAGTTGCTCCCACAGAGTGCTGCGATGGTTTCTGCAGGAGCTCTGGGCCCCCGTGTTTGTCGGACACAATGAGGAGACAAGGAGCCAAGTGCACTCCTTAAATTCCAAATGGCGCACAATGTCTCCCAGACCCAACCTGCCACCACCTACAACTTGGGCTGCTCTGGCAGTGCCAAACCCCTCCTTGAAACTGACCTCAGAAAACTGGTGGGGCTGAGTTTTGTTTCCCATGGAAAAGGGCCAGCGTTCACGTCCAGGAGCCTCCTGCCTGCCCAAGGGCCTGTGGTCCCATGTGACCTTCTGCTTTCTAAAATTCTAAACGGTGCAGGATTTCTCCCAGACAAAGCTGCTACCACCAAGAACTCAGGTTACCCTCAGAGTGCCAAATGCCTCCTCCAAACTGGCATCAACACACTGGGGGCTGAGGGCAATTTTGGCACCAAAAAGGGCCAGCATTTGTATCCTGGGGCCTTTGGCCCTGAGTGGGCTGCCACCTCCTCAAATTCCAAACAGTGCAGGATGTCTCCCAGACCCAACCTGCCACCACCTACAACTTGGGCTGCTCTGGCAGTGCCAAACACCTCCTTGAAACTGACCTCAGAAAACTGGGGCCGAGTTTTGTTTCCCATGGAAAAGGGCCAGCGTTCACGTCCAGGAGCCTCCTGCCTGCCCAAGGGCCTGTGGTCCCATGTGACCTTCTGCTTTCTAAAATTCTAAACGGTGCAGGATTTCTCCCAGACAAAGCTGCTACCACCAAGAACTCAGGTTACCCTCAGAGTGCCAAATGCCTCCTCCAAACTGGCATCAACACACTGGGGGCTGAGGGCAATTTTGGCACCAAAAAGGGCCAGCATTTGTATCCTGGGGCCTTTGGCCCTGAGTGGGCTGCCACCTCCTCAAATTCCAAACAGTGCAGGATGTCTCCCAGACCCAACCTGCCACCACCTACAACTCGGGCTGCCCTGGGAGTACCAAACACCTCCTGCAAACTGACATCAGGAAATTGGGGGAGGTGAGTTTTGTTTCCCAGGGAAAAAGGCCAGCGTTTGTGGCCAGGGGCCTGCAACAGGAGCTGTAGTTGAATTTTTCACATTAATTTACCCCCAATGCCAAATGCTGTCTATGGCTGAGAAAGGACACAAAAGGATTACCCTCGATGAAGGGAGGCAAAAGCTCGGAAAAGGATGAAAGAAATGCTCCAATGATGACAACAACAAAACAATTTATTTCTGACAGCAAATGAACACCCCCCACCCTCCAGCCCTCCCAGACCAGCAGGTCGAGAGGTGCCGTTTCCAGGACATGAGGTGCTGGCAGCCTGGAGAGAGAAACCAGAGAACCACGGTCAGTCACAGAAGGCTCCTGTCCCCCCTGTCACACCATGGCCTGTGCCCAGGCCAGACTGCTGGCTCTGCTCAGAGCCCAAACATCACGACCCATTCTCTGTTTTTAGAGAAAAGCAGCACGGCAGGCCACGTTCCACCTCCTCTGCTTCAGCACAGCACAGCAACCTCCTCAGCAGCTGCAAGAGCGGGATGCCCGTGTGCCTGCTGCCTTCTGCCCGAAGCCCTTCTGCCAGCCGAGCTGTGGAGCCAGGTACCCACCTCTGGAGACCTGCTGCCAGGAGAAGAGCTGATCCTACAAAACATCCTAGTCCTTCTTGAAGGGGATGTCCCCCCGTAGGGGCAATGCTGGCACTGGACACACTCCACGGACAGTACAAGTGCTTCCCCATCTGGTCTGGGCACCAGGTGCAATCTTCCTGGAAAAAAAAAAAAAAAAACAATTGCATGAAAGTCAATTCAAAAGAAGACCTGGAAATGAGAAAAAGTGTCAAAGCTTATCACTGTATCACGGGCCTAGGCAGAGTCTGATCACTCCATGCGAGAATTAAACCTCTCCATGGGTGGGGAAAACCCCCCCCTTTCCTGCTCGTAAACCCACCCCTTCCTCAAGGGCCTGCAAAGCAGACCAGCTGGGGCATGGCTTCGGAACCCATCCTCCTCTGCTGCCCCCATCCACATGCATGGATGCATCCACAGGCTGGCTGGTAGAAGCTGTCAGCAAGGCCAGGAGCTGGCTCCCCTTCCACAATATCCATCCCCTGTCCCACCAAAAAGCAGCTTGGTGACCAGCGGAAAAATTATTCCTCATCACCACCGAGCAGGGAATCTCCGGTGTGAAGCCAGGCCAAGCCCTGCCATGCCTGGGAGCATGAGCATCCCCCTGCCCCTGCGCCAGCTGGGGACTCATCTTGATTTCCTCAGGGTGCAGAGCATGTCCTCCAGGAAGGGGTCACAGCCAAAGCCAGTTGGCTTTGCCCCACCAGCGGCCAGCTCCAGGATGGTGTTCCCAGCTCCACGTCGTGCTCCAGAAGAACATGCCAGCTGTGCCTCGGCTTGCGGGGACATCATGGTGCCATTGAGCTGCAGGGGGATATTTCCCCTTCTCCAGTCTCAACTTCACTACACTGCCACCAATTCTCCAATAGGACGGGGAGCACTGAGCCCCTCCCTGCACAACTCGCTGGGGACCAGTGGAAGCGTCTCCTGGGCTGTGCTCTCTCCTCCGTGCCGTGGCAACAGGGACACACTCTAGGGTTTTCATCCAGCGCCACGAGATGCGTGCAGCTGGTACTTGCTGGGATCCTGGATCCTACTGTGCAGAGACACGGATCTCTGCTGTCTCCTGGTCCACGTGGGGGTCCTGCAGCCAAGAATGCTCAAAAAGGTCTTCCAAGGATGGCCGGTCTGTGGGCTCCATGGATAAACACCACCTGATAAGGTGCTGGCACTCTGCAGAGACAAACCAGAAACCACTGGTCAGCAGAACAAGGCTCCTGTCCATGCTCTCCCAGATTCAACGGTGCCCACACTACACTAGAAGCGCTCAGAGCTGCACACAAAGCTTCCCATCAATCCTCCATTTCAGAGGAGAGCAGCACAGAGTCACATGTGCCACCTCCTCCAGCTAAGCCCAGGAGATCAACCTCCTCACTAGCTGCAAGAGCAGGACACATGTGCCAGCCTCCACCTCCCAATCCCATTCTTCCTCCTGTGCCTTGAAGGAGCATCCTCACCTTGAGACACCCGGGGCGGGAAGAAGAGCTGGCCTCTGATGATGTCCTCACTGGTGTGGAAAGGAAGATTGCCACAGACCAGGTCATAGAGCAGGATGCCCAAGGACCAGATGGTTGCTGGCTGGCCACGGTAGCAGCCAAAGAGGATCCACTCCGGTGGGCTGTACTCCGGCGTTCCTATGGGACACAAGCGCAGCTCATCAGGCCGATGCTGCTCCCTCTCCCTGCCAGCCAGCTCCCGTTCCACAACAGCCAGCCCCTGCTCCGCCGAAAAGCAACTGGGCTGCAAACGGCTGAAGGAGGATTCCCCCTCCATCCCTCTTCCAGCAAAGGGGGAAATGTCCGCTGCCCGGCTGGGCCCTAGCTTTGGGCTCACCTGACATCCGGGTGTAGAACGTGTCATGGAGGATCGTGCCGCACCCGAAAAGCCAAGGTCAGCGGCGGGCTGAGCTCGCCGCCCACCGTCTCCCACCGCCCCATTCCGACCCAGCCCCGTCTCTTACCGGGGCGCCGTCGGCGAGCCGGGTCCCGGAGTAAACACTGCCGTAGCCGCCGCTGCCCAGCAGCGGGCCCTCCCGGTAGAGCTGCTCCAGGGGAGGCTTCTCCGCCCGTGCGGGCGGCACCGCGCTCTCGCCATTCTGCCCGGGGCACCCGAACGCCCCGGCCGCTGCTGCTTGTCGAGCCGCCCCGGGCTCCGACGGCTCGGGGCCGATGGCCGAGCTGGCGAGCGGCGGAGCTCGGACCGGGGAAGCTCCTGGGGGAGCTCCCGGGGACGGGCCGGGAGCCGGGCGGCAACGGGTTGGCTTCGGGCGGAACCGTGGGAGGGGCTTCGTTCGGGACCGGGGCCGGGCCAGAGCCTGCGCCAAGCGGAGCCAGAGAACGGTGCTGCCCCACCACAACCAGAGTGAGGAACTCTTCCAGAGGCTCTTGCAGAGGCGCCACAGCCAGTGCGGAGGCACCCTGGGGGATGGGAGACCGCGGCGCGCCGGGCATGGCCGGGCAGGGGGCCGACCCACCCATGGGCGCCCTGCGGGACGCGGCATGAGCCGGGCTGGGAAAGGCGGAACACGGACTGAACGGGACGAGACGGGACGGAACGGGAGTGGAGGGAGTGTTAGACGGAGAAGGGAACGGAGAGCGAGCGGAAAATCGAGCGGAAAACCGATCGAGAGAAGCGCTGCCGCTGCTGCCGCTGCTGCTGCCGAGCCGCCGGAGCTCGCCGCCGTTCGTCCGTTGTCTCCGCGAACCCAACGGAGGAACCGCCGCGCGCCCCGCGGAACGGAAGAAAGAAACAAACAAAAACCCAAAGCAATTCCTGTTAGAGAAGTAACCAGAGGTCCTGACAGCGGTGTTCCAGCACCTCACCACCCTCACGGTGAAGAGGTTTTTTTCTGAATATCTAGTTTAAAACTACTGTTTTGGTCCATTTTAAAGGCAGTGCTACTGCTATGCAGGTTTCCTTTCTTCAGCTGAGGGCGAGAACGGAACTGAAGGGTACATGAGCTCCCTGTACCATTGTCCTCTTATCATCCTTTATGCAGAGAGCAGGCAGAGAAACAAGTGGTTGTAGTGAAAAATATGTTTTTCCTACAGCAGTGTGAGCTGTTCGTTATGCACACGCAGAACTAACAGTGTGCATTGCAACTTGTAGATATCCTGCTCCACCAAGCGTCTGCAATTGGATCTGCAATACTGGAAAAGTCATGAAGAGGTTTTGCTGTAATCCCCTCTGCCTGTGACTTCAAACGGATCGTGTCTTTCCCTGTCCCTGTTCAGGTGGCAGGGGAACAAACTGCCTCAAGGTACAAAAGGAAAATTACTTGAAACATTTGGCTACAGTGCTGGATGGTGTTCTGAGGAGAAAGATGGATGATATATTGTCATGAGAATATGACACACCCCTCAAAAAATGCAACTGGACCACCAATCAAGCTTGGCAATTTCAGGTTTTTCTTCTAAATCTTTCCTCAGTTCCATGATGGGGCACAAAATATTTTTTGTGATATTCCATAATATTGTGATTGCTTAATTTTTATATACAAAAAGGTAGAACAGCTATGGAAAAATAAGTCTCCTCAAAAAAATGTTCTCTGATTAAGATTTTCTAAAATATTAAAAATGTAAAAGCACTATCACAGTATTTTTTTCTAATATTGAGGATCTTCTCCAGCAGAGAACAGTTATGTACAGACAGTGCAATATGTTCTCTATCCACACACTGGGCAGATTTTACACCCACTTCCCAAAACAGCTTTCACACCACAAGAGACAGAAACTTTGTGTCTGATAAGGTTTTCTTGAGCTATGATAAATTACTTACCTGTGGTAAGTAATTTTCTGTAAGCAAAATTATCACTACTGTTGCATATTTTCACTTAATTTTTACATTAAATTGTTGTTTTGTATGGACTTCTAATAGAAGCTTTTTGGGAAAATGCAAGAGAATATAAGTAAATCCAGTGTTAACAACTGTATTTTTACAGTTAACATTACTTTTCTTTGTGGAGCCCCAGAGCATGGAGAGCAAAAAGAGGAAATGCATCTGCCTCGCCTGCCTCACTGGGCAGCTGAGCAAAGCAGCTGCCATAAGGCAGAGCTGATTCAAAGAACAAATGCGCTCTCAGGCTGAAGGTGGATCTGTCAACTTTTGCACAAAGACACAAAGGGAGAAATGAAGAGATCTCCTTTCCTTGAAATTCTCAGGAAGGCTAACAGAAGCACCATAAATGGGCTTCTAACACTCAACCCACAAACACAGATACAAAAGGAACTTCTGCAAAGTTGCACCTGTACTTAAAAGGATAAATCAATGTAATTTTTTATCAGACACCACTTTGAATTCGGAAAAAAACCCCTAAACCACTATTTAATTTTAAGAAAAACCTTTATTTTGTTTTATAGGCTTGTTTGTATCAAAAGCAGTTACTTCAAAATCAAATTCACATAAAATTCAGCATGTAAATAGGCTGAAGTTGTTGTTAGTTTAAATCCATTGCTGAAAGATGAGGGCTCCGAATGACATTTCAACAGCTTTGTGGGGGAAAAAATTAAACTGTGGTGTATGTGATCCCATTTTGTGTCTTTGAGTTTTCATGGCGTTTAATTAACTTACGATTATCTTGAGTGTGGCTTTATGCTCATCTTAGACCATGATGGTAAACTTGTAAATATGACCAAAATACATATAATGAGAGGGTTTTATTCTGTCTAACGGGACCACACACAAGGCAAATCCAGATAAAATGTTACTTGTAACTTAAATGTACCACACGAGCTCATAAAGCTCATAAAGTGTTGAACTGTTGATGTTTTGCAGTAGGAGTATTTTAAATGAAGACACACTTCTCCTAAAAGGTGGAATCTGTTTTCATTCATGAGCTGGGTTTAAGGAAATAATTTTATTACCTCATTCTGGACCTCAAAGCCTGTGTCTAGATGAGTCCTATATAGGAAATTCACAACATTCAGACAAAAGCAAGGTGTTTTTCTCATGTGTATGGATGATGAAGTATGCGGGGGTTTTTTGCTTGTTGCAGTATTGATTTTTTACAGGAATGGTAAGAAATATTATTTCCTATTAATAACAATATATGTAGCTTGATTTCTTACTTTAGAGGTGTGATTTGCTTTGGTGTCAAGGATAATGAAAGTTACTTTAATGTCAAGCTTTTCTAATATGCAACAAATACTTGCTGTCTCTATCACTGGTCAGAAGCTGTTATTTTCGTATATTTTGAGAAAAATTGTAGGTTATTTGTCCTTCTGCTTATAGATAAAATTGTTGTGTTGCAAGTGTTGATCCAAGAAGCATCTCTAGTTCTGGAAAGGCTGGCATAGAATCACAGGTGAGAAGGGTCTGCTGGAGGTCTTTGATCCTGTTATCTGCTGGGAGTGAGGCTAACTCCAAAGTTTCATCAGGTTGCTCAGGGACTTTTCCAGTCAGTTTTGAGCACCCGGAGGGATGGAGGACCTTTAATCTTGCCCTTTCACATGCTGGTTACACTCTGGCCAGTACAGGCTGGCATGTGACCAGCCTTCATCATCGCAAGGGTGCAGTGCAGCACCATTGTAAAGAGAACTGACAGTTCCCAGGATGCAGAAACTCCTGGGAAATACATCAGAGACCCTGGCTCTGGCAGATGCCAGGTGATTTGGGCTAGAAACCGATCCTTGCAGGGAGAAAAAGGGGACGAAGAGGAATTAACATGGGGTTCCTTGGCATTTGTCTGTGTGTATCTGAACATCTGTGCTAAGTGAAGTGCTCTGAAGATTAGCTCTTCTTTTGCATTTTGCTTGCAAAGATATACTAAATGTTCAGAAGCAGCAATTAATTTGCAACCATGCAGCCCACTGTTAGGAGAGTCATACTCTCATAGCACTAATAACCAGGAACCTGCAAGCTAAACCACACTCTCATGCATTTTTCACTTCCCAGTCTGCATTGGGTTGGTGGCTTTATAGTGCTGTTTGTGAGGATAAGTACAGGAGCATGAACATGGCTGCATAAGCCATGGAAGAGCTGGCAGGCAGTTTTGCAAGGTGAGCAGCTGTTTCTCAGGTTGTCACAGGTAAAGATCTGCCTTTATTCTGCAGCATTGCCATTGCCTTCAGAAAGCTTTGGCTCTCTGACTTTGAATGTTCATGTGGGAAGAAGCTGAAGATCACAAAAGACATACAGCTCCTACTAGATATTGTCCAGGAAATGGAGATCTAAGTGTGTCACCTTTCACATGCTTGGGGTTGTGTGTAAATGTCATGATGGTTTGTGACATTCATCAGCTTCAGGTTTGCTTTATTCCAAAGATTCTCTACTTCTGTGGTCTGATCCTATGCAGGCTGGGGAAGTCTGAATCCTTTACTTGTCCCATAGAGGTTGTTGTGGATTTTCTTGCAAGCTGTGGAAGTGGCACTGCAAGCTAACAAGGAATGAGCTTGTTGCATGTGAGTCCACACTCACAAATATTCTTTACAAGGCATGGTAACAACAGAAAGGAGAAAGAGGAAAGGATGACCTAGGCAAGCTTAAAGCATGGCCAGGCAAATAAAGCAATAATCTTTCTTGGCTGAGGTCTACTTGTCTAAAATCATAGGCCTTCCTTGCAGATTCACTAGCAGGTTTTCACCAGCCCCCCTTGGCAGGAAGGATCTCAGACCAGAAAACAGTGGTGTGCATTTTCCTTTCTATTCCTGTATATTGGAATATCCAGCTCACCACCTGATCTGCTTTTTGGTGTTTCCTTTCAGCCCTCACTCTGTCATTTTGCCTCAGAGTTCAGCCAAGCTAATAGTGGGCTGCTTCAAATGGGCGCTTCAAACCATCTGCTCCTTTATTTCATTTCTTGGCTGAAAAGAAGCCCCTTCTGTAGGACTGGTCTTCAGTAAGTGTTGATCAATCTCACTCAGTGCAGGAATGTGGTGGCAGTATGGTGAAGGTGAGGCAGCCCCACAGAATGGCAGGAGAATCTTATGTCAGTTTGCACTAATCAGCCTTCCCTTGGTCCATCCTTTTCTGGTCTTATTTACTCTGTTGGGCCATCCTAAGCAAAATATTTCCTTGGGAAGTTGGAGGTGAGGAAGGGAATTCATCACCATGAATGGCTGGCACCACCAGTAAGACTGTTCAATCCACTTGTCATGAACTGAGCCAGGCTAGTCTTCTTTTCTTTCCCCTCTTTCAAAGCCAAGTGTAATCCTTCCTCATATACTAGGAAGAGTGGATTGCAAAAAATGGTCAATTTTCCCATTTTCTGAGTTTGAAAGCCATTATGAATCAGTGGAACAGGGAAAGAACAGACCTTTTAAAGTTTCCAAAGGAAAAGCTAGCTTCAGAATTGCCTTTTCAACCTGAGAAGTTTTTTCTGCCCTGGGAAGTTTTTCATTTGCAGACTGGTGGGAGGCTCTTGCAACCCAAAAATGGGGTTTGAAGGTGATATTGCCTTTGATCCATGGAAGAATACCAAGGCTGAAAATGCTGGATCCATATTCCTTGCTAAGCTAATGAAAAGAACTCCTTAGGTTAGAAATGTTTGGGATTTAGGGCCCATTTATCCCATTTAGGAAGTTATGAAGTTAGGGAGTTTAAATTCCATTTGGAGATGCAGGCTACTGAGTAGAGCCATGATGCTTGACATGCTTAGGTGTTTTATTATTTGCAGCTGGCATCTGAAGTATCAGTGGTGTTGAGTTCTGCACAGACAGAACAGGATGAACACCTAACCTTCAAAATGTGAATCCTGATACACTTGAAAAGCAGTATGGGAGTGATCCAGTAGAACCCTGCTGACTGGAACAAATCATGTGCCATTTGTTAGCTCACCATACTTTCTTTGGGTGTCCTAAGGTACTTCTTTTCTCTCTTTCATTTTAAGGAGAGGTGGAGGATGCCTAAAAGTCTTTAAAATCTTTGTATTGTAAAATAGTGTTAATAAGTCCTCAAATCCTTGTTTAGTAAAAGCCTCTTGGTATTGAGGGGAGTTTCTTTGGTAAAGAAAGACTTTGCCAAAAGGTTTGTCAAGCATTGGAGTAGGCTGCTCAGGGAAGTGGTTGGGCTGCCAGCCCTGGGGTGTTTAAAAGATGTGTAGATGTGGCACTTAAGAACATGTTTTAGTGGTGGACTTGACAGTGTTAGGTTAATGGTTGGGCTGGATGGTCTTAATGGTTTTTTTCCAAACTAAATTATTCTATAAAACTGCAAAACCAAATGTAGTAATATTAAATGTAAATGGATTTTCACCTTCAGCAATATTTTTAGAAGCACATCTTGCCTGAAGCAGTTTCCTGCTCTTTGTGAGAGCTGGATGCATGTTTTCCCATGTGTTTTGCAGCATTACTTTAAAGCTCATTTCTGGTAAGTTTGAGATGTTGTTATTGAGATCTCCTGGAGTGGAAAATAAACTATTTTCTGTGTTATTTCTTTGCAGCATTTGCATATGTCTACTGGGTATGCTTTAGCTTTTTCATGTGAAGAGAAGAGACTTCTAGCAAAAAGAATGTTTTTCCTCACTTGGTAATGTTACTCCAAGGGCACAGTGTGGAAGACAGAAAACTTGCCAAGTGGATGAACAATTAAGAATGATGTCTACCTGCAAAGAAACATGTGGAAAAATTATACCAAAAAGAGAGAGCTCTTAGCAGTTCTTTCAGCCTATACAAAAGGTATTTGTGTGGAAGGAGCGGGGTGGTCTAATTCAAGGCTTTCCCATTGCTCTTGATCTGATAGTGAAGTATTTTTATAGAAAATTACTGCAAATTGCTTTCAGATGCTACATTGGACAAACATTTGCAACTTGGCAAGCTGAGATGGACTCATGCATTGTGTTCCTGTGCTGTGATTAGGATGGAGATACAATTAGTAGTGTGTCTGGGGTTTGGGCTGTTTGGGTTTTTCATTGCTTTCTTTTGTTTGTTTTTTCCCTTGATTCTGGCAAGGTGCTTTGGGTGGGTAAGTGAATAGACTTTAATCTAAAGGTTAATTGTATTTCAGGAGACTAAAACTTCCTGTTGTTGAGATGTACTTCTGGACCTCCCAAGCTGCATTCTACAGTTGTGGTCCCTGATGCATTGTCTGATGCTGCAGGAGTTTTGCTCTCATGTCTGTCACTGCCTTTCCAGCAGTCACGGGCTCCTGGGAGATGTCCCCTCTGCCTTCTTCTCACCAGACTACACAAGTCCAGCCCTCTCTCCTCAGAGGCACTGTGCTCCAGGTCCCTAACCATTTTTGTAGTCTCAGCTGGCTCCTCTCCTCTTTTGCCACATCCCTCCTGAACTGGAGGACCCAACACTGGAGACGAATCCTGGAGAGGCCTCACCAGCTCTGGACAGAGTGGGTAGAAATCCCTCTTCTGGCTGTGCTAGACATGTGGCTGCTAGTGCAGCCTGTTTATCTTATATGTGATGGGAACATTCTTCTGGTTAATGGTCAGCCTGTTGTCTGCTGAAACCCCAAGTCCTTCTCAGAAGCGCTGTTGAGCAGATTGAATCTTCCAGCCTGGCTGAATGCACAGAGCTGTGTCACCCCTTGTGCAGAGCTCTGCTCCTCTCCTCCTTGGACATCACAAGGTGCTACTTCTCAGGTTGACTGAGGCCCCTCTGGGCAGACATTCTGCCATTTCATAGGGTGGCCACCCTCCCAGTTTAATGTCACCTGTGGCTATTTGTGCTCTTCACCCAAGGTAGAACCAAGATAAAACTTCATGTTGTTCTGAATGTACAGACCCCCTGGAGGGAGTATTTCTGTCTTGATCTGTGTAGGACAAGACAACCACATAAACAGGTATGAGATTACTCCAACCGGATCTACCTGTTTGCTGAAAGACATTGCTCAGTGCTCAGTGGTAAAGCCAAGCACAGAAGTCCAGAGAAGGCTGACCACAAAGCTCTGCTTAGTGCTGTTGCTGGTTTCTCCTACCATTGCTTCCAGGCATCTTGATTGTTCCCAGATAAATTAATTGATCTGCTGGGTTTTAGTCTGCTTTCTATGGTAGTGCTTCCTAGCCTCATTTGGCAGTGACATTTTCTGCTGTCATCTAATAACCATCTAATTGATGGTTATTGCATTAAGGCAATAATTTAGTGTTCCACCACCCTTGCCTCTCACCTCCCTTTCTTTCTTCTCCCACTGATTTGTCCTTCAACCAACCTTTCTCTCACATCTCCCTTCTTTTCTTCCCAGTCCTATGCTCACAGTGATCTGTACCTGACCCTTTCACTCTACCATTCCCTTTCATGTTCACCTTGTACCATCCACTCTTACTGCAAAATTGACTTCTCTGTTCCATCAACAGAGCCTTCTCCGTTCCTGACAGAGCTCATGCCCTTTGCAGGGCAGCCCAGGGGACTTTCCAGGGGTCTGTCCTATTCTTTCCCTGTGCTCCATAGGTGTGAAACGCTGCTCCAGCAATAAATGTGTGGATGCTGTGCATCATGGGCAACGCTGGCGCTTGTGTGATGGAGGGGGGGATTGTAACCTTGGATGAATTCTGACAGAATCTCCTCCCCTCGTGTTCAGCGAAATGTTTGGCATTTCTCAATGAGCCAGGGCTGAGCCTCAAGGAGTGGAGGATTTTGGTCCTGTTATCAGTTTCACATGAGGGTTTGCAAGCTCTGAGAGACATCCTGTCCTGAGTAAAGAAAAAAGGGGTGGAGTCTCTAGCACTGTTGTCTTATTTTGAGACAATTTACAGGGTGGAGAGTCCAAAATAAGTTACCTGCTGACAGTTTTTAACCTCTCTCCCTTCCACCAGTAAGACAAGTGCAAAGAGATATAAATGAAAAAATAACAATTTACTAAAAGAAAACATAGCAATAACTACAAGATACAAAGGTAAATGGTTCAGCCTCAACCCACAAATGCAGAAAAGGTATTTCCAGTTTGTCCCCAAATAAGGGATGGCACTGTTCCCACTCTGGGCCATATGGCAAATGAGTCTCTGGTTTAAAAACTCCCTCGTCCAGACAAACAAATAATAGGGAATGGAGGAAAATAAAACCTGGAAAAACTCTTTTTGTCTGAATGAAGTCAATGTTATTGAGGCACCACACTCTCTCACCTCTCTGCTTCTGAGGGAAGAGCCCCTGAACTTCCAGGGGCTTTATACTGGAAACCACATCCTCCAGCTGTGACATGGTGGTATTAAACACGCAATGCTGAAGTTCTTCCATCCCTATTCCTTTTTTCTTCTAACCATAACATGTGTTTGATTCCATACACCCACAGCCTGGCAGGGACAGGGGTTTCAGCTCAAAGAGTCTCACTTAGGACCGATGTTTATAGGGTCACAAGGTGATTTGCTTTAGTTCGGTAAATTTCCATCCTGGCCACAATCCAGGTTGGCAATTAATGGAATTTTCCGAAGTCCACCAAAAATGGTACCACTCCACTTGGGCAACAACTCAAGTAAGTAATATCCCAAGGCTGTAGGGATGACTGATTATCCCACTCTTATTCCCTACCTTGTTCAGGCAATAGGAGTTCCTAGTACAGTCAGTGCAGCTCCACATTTGCCATGCAAGAGCTCCTGGTGTGGTCCATGGGATACTGTCCAACTCATTACATAAAGGCCAAAGCCTAATGGGAGTTCTTGAGGTCTTAGAGTGGCCAAGAGGAGCAGGAGAAGAAACACCACAGTCAGGAAGAGCAGACCTGCAACATGCTGGATGAGAATTTGCTCCCAAAAGAAGCTATTGGCAGCCAGAATACACCTGCAAAGAACAGCTGCAGCCATGCCCAGAAATCCAGCCATAATCCTTCTCCAGTCTGTTTCTACCAAACCCAAGAAATTAAGAGTGGCACTGGCACAGAAAAGCAGGAGGAAGTGGAGGAACATCTAGAAATAGCCGCAAGGGCAGCTGGCCAGTGCCAGGCAGACCTGCAGTAGGAGTGATCGCAGACTTAATGAGTGAGTGAGTACCTGTAAGTAGAAGCTGCTGCTGCAGCAATGCTCCTACAAACCAGCAGTTTTGTAGTTGTGGTACTTCCCACTATCACATGAACCATATAATCATACAGCTTCAGCAATATGACCTTCAAGATGTGGGTGCAGCATGGTTTTGTGCAGTGATACACTCCTTGTTCTCTATTTCCTTCTAGAGTTGAAAGTTAAAGTAGTTTGGCTGGAAAGAAATGCTCCAGTTTCTAAATTCTGTGGAGTTTCCATGCAGACAGGTCCTGTCGTAATTATTTTTAGCATGTGGCTTCTGCTGTCAGTTTCTGACATGGCTCCTGCTGGACCCTTCCCAGTGAAATCAGAATGTGGGGCTTCAAGCTGTTATCCTGGATCCACCAGCAGCAATGGCCAATGCACAGATGGCCAGCAGCACTCATAAAGCATTATTTATTACATGCGAGCTGGATTTCTTCCCTTCCCCTTGTCCTTTCCAAAAGAATACTGCTTGTCTCTGAAAGACACAAACAAGTATTTCCCAGAAATGTAAAAACATGGGGAAATGCTTACTACTGGGCTTCTGGGTAAAAATGATCAGTGTGTTTCCTCTCACACTATACTCATGCCCCTCCTGGTAAAGAAAAACCTTCCCAGAACAGGCTTGTGCTGCAGCAGGAGAAACAAGGCTCTGACTAATGCAAAATCGTGTGCAGGAACTCTGCCTGCTGGGAACTGGCTATTGCTAACTTCCCTCCAGCAGCCCATGCTGGCCACTGGCAGCACTGGCTGAAACATAGAACTTGCAGCAGAGAGAGAAGGAGGGAGGGATCAGGCTGGACCTCATGCAAGCTTTATTTTTGCAAGAGGGGAAGGAGGGCAGGGTAAGAAAAAAGAAGGAAAAAGTGATGCAGGGGTCTGGCTGGATTCCAGCTGCCACACGCTGCACCACCAGCTGGTATCCCCGAAGGGCCACCATCTGGCAAATGCCACAGAAATGTCACCTACCTTGCCCCTGCAGCCGTTGCTGCCCTGGGGCACCATTTACCTCGAAAAAGCCATTTTTGCCTTCCACGTTCTTTGCAGAACAAATGCTAGAATAAGCTCTCACTGCTGGCACCTTGCTCCTTAGCATGACACCATAGAGTTGGCTTCTTTAAAAGGCTTTTAAAAGGCTGTGCAGTTGCTTCACAAATAAAGCAGGTACTCAGTGCAAAGGGTCCCATCCTGCAGGGTGCCCCTCCTGGAGCAAGGGTGCTTTGGGAAGTGGAGCTGAGCTTGCTTAGATGAATGGGAAGCAACCAGCAAAAGGCATTTGGGAGCAGATAGGAGTGGACGAGGAGATGCTGTCTGAGGTCCAGAAGGGCTGGGAGTCAGACATTGCTCTGGGAGCTGTTAAAACAGGAAGAGAGCACAGAAGAAGCCAAGTATTCCGACTGTTGGCATCATGCTGGAAAGATTTATTGTCTTTTTTCTGTGAAGTACAACATAAAAGTCTCATGTTTGAGGAGAGGGAAAAAATTATCAGGCTGCATTGTTGCTTTTTTACAGTCTTAGAGTCATCCCTGAAAGTGTGAGGCTTAGCTTTTCCCTCTGGATATCAGGAGTGACTGCAACAGGGTTATATCAGTGTAGGACTAGTATACACAGCTTTCCTTTCCTTTCCCTTCCTTCCTTCCTTCCTTCCTTCCTTCCTTCCTTCCTTCCTTCCTTCCTTCCTTCCTTCCTTCCTTCCTTCCTTCCTTCCTTCCTTCCTTCCTTCCTTCCTTCCTTCCTTCCTTCCTTCCTTCCTTCCTTCCTTCCTTCCTTCCTTCCTTCCTTCCTTCCTTCCTTCCTTCCTTCCTTCCTTCCTTCCTTCCTTCCTTCCTTCCTTCCTTCCTTCCTTCCTTCCTTCCTTCCTTCCTTCCTTCCTTCCTTCCTTCCTTCCTTCCTTCCTTCCTTCCTTCCTTCCTTCCTTCCTTCCTTCCTTCCTTCCTTCCTTCCTTCCTTCCTTCCTTCCTTCCTTCCTTCCTTCCTTCCTTCCTTCCTTCCTTCCTTCCTTCCTTCCTTCCTTCCTTCCTTCCTTCCTTCCTTCCTTCCTTCCTTCCTTCCTTCCTTCCTTCCTTCCTTCCTTCCTTCCTTCCTTCCTTCCTTCCTTCCTTCCTTCCTTCCTTCCTTCCTTCCTTCCTTCCTTCCTTCCTTCCTTCCTTCCTTCCTTCCTTCCTTCCTTCCTTCCTTCCTTCCTTCCTTCCTTCCTTCCTTCCTTCCTTCCTTCCTTCCTTCCTTCCTTCCTTCCTTCCTTCCTTCCTTCCTTCCTTCCTTCCTTCCTTCCTTCCTTCCTTCCTTCCTTCCTTCCTTCCTTCCTTCCTTCCTTCCTTCCTTCCTTCCTTCCTTCCTTCCTTCCTTCCTTCCTTCCTTCCTTCCTTCCTTCCTTCCTTCCTTCCTTCCTTCCTTCCTTCCTTCCTTCCTTCCTTCCTTCCTTCCTTCCTTCCTTCCTTCCTTCCTTCCTTCCTTCCTTCCTTCCTTCCTTCCTTCCTTCCTTCCTTCCTTCCTTCCTTCCTTCCTTCCTTCCTTCCTTCCTTCCTTCCTTCCTTCCTTCCTTCCTTCCTTCCTTCCTTCCTTCCTTCCTTCCTTCCTTCCTTCCTTCCTTCCTTCCTTCCTTCCTTCCTTCCTTCCTTCCTTCCTTCCTTCCTTCCTTCCTTCCTTCCTTCCTTCCTTCCTTCCTTCCTTCCTTCCTTCCTTCCTTCCTTCCTTCCTTCCTTCCTTCCTTCCTTCCTTCCTTCCTTCCTTCCTTCCTTCCTTCCTTCCTTCCTTCCTTCCTTCCTTCCTTCCTTCCTTCCTTCCTTCCTTCCTTCCTTCCTTCCTTCCTTCCTTCCTTCCTTCCTTCCTTCCTTCCTTCCTTCCTTCCTTCCTTCCTTCCTTCCTTCCTTCCTTCCTTCCTTCCTTCCTTCCTTCCTTCCTTCCTTCCTTCCTTCCTTCCTTCCTTCCTTCCTTCCTTCCTTCCTTCCTTCCTTCCTTCCTTCCTTCCTTCCTTCCTTCCTTCCTTCCTTCCTTCCTTCCTTCCTTCCTTCCTTCCTTCCTTCCTTCCTTCCTTCCTTCCTTCCTTCCTTCCTTCCTTCCTTCCTTCCTTCCTTCCTTCCTTCCTTCCTTCCTTCCTTCCTTCCTTCCTTCCCTCCCACCTCTACATTAATTCTTTCCTACGCTTTTTTAACCAGCCTGCCCTGGACTAACAAAAATGCAGCTCTTCCCCTGACCAAAGCAACCTTCAGCATTCCAGAAAGAACTTTCCAGATTCAATGTATGATCCCACCTTGGCTCAAACAGGACCCTCTAAGGACACCTTCCCTCTCACAGCACCTCCAGTCCCATAAACAAAAGAGACAGGCAGGCCAGTGGCTGCTTTCCCTCTGCAGCACCATCAGATGCAGTGCCTTGCCCTTTATTCTGGCATGGAAAGATGCCAGAGAGTTGCAAAGAGGTTTTCAACTGTGACAAATCGCATTGGTGTCACCTGGCTGGAGCCAGGTGGAGTCTGCCAATGCATGCTGGCGAAAGAACCAGAGCTCCCATTTGAAGCAGTGGCCAGGACCTGGGGCTGTAGAGCACAAACCAGCATTTCATATCAAAGCAGGAGCAGCAGCAGCAGGATGGATGGATTGTGAACACAGTTGGAAACAACAAGGCATCCAGTCTTAGCAGGGTATTTTCCATGCCACTGACTGCAGCTGGGGCTCGTGATTCCTGAAGACACCAAAACTCTTCAAGCAATTGGCAGTGACTGAACTCTCACAACAATGTCCAATACCCAAATGCTGTTCTGTTGGGTTCATTTGACTTTCCTCTATGGTATGAAAGGAGCCCAGCCTGCCTCTCTGCAGCATGTGGCTTGACTATTCTAGCACAGCCACATCCAAGGAATAGGAGGATTAAGAGAAAGCGAGAGAAGTCTTCCCAAGGCGTGGGAAAGCAAATGATGCCTGATACTAATTTGATCTGACCTGTTTCCAAAGGGGTGGAGGACACACCTCTCAGCTCCATCTGTCTCTCTTACTGAAGAGAAGGGACACAGACACTCCCAGAGAAACCTGTGGGTGTTTTTACAAGAGCAGAGGAAGAACAGGCAGCTGCCATGCATAGAAAGCAGGATTTAAGAGGGAAAATAATTCTGCTTTCTTCATTCATAACCATTTCTACCAAAGCAGAACTTTGCAAGAACATAATATGGGAACAACTATAAGCCAGTTCCCCTCTA